GACCATCAAGAGCTGCCATTTTCAGTTCTAATGCTCTTTTTTCTAATTCCAATTGTGCAGCGGAAATTTCCTGACCATTATTAACCGGTACGGGTCCGTAGGTTCCATGTAAGCTTTCTTCTTGTTCTTCTTCCCTGGCATTTGATTTTTGCTCATCTTGTGTAGCATAATTTTCAATTGACTTCTCGCTCTCTAGGCATATATTTTTCGGCAATACTGGACCTATTACACCGGGTTTTTCATTGACGTTGACGGTGGATTTATTCACTAAATGAGGTGGTAAGGCGGGACCAAAAGAATCAATTTCATTTGTTTTGCTACTTGTATCAACATCTCTGGGAGGTGCAATGGGTTGAATCTGGATCAAATCCTTTTCTCTGGTAGATTTTGAAGATTTCTTTTCTTTGCGGGACTTTTTCTCCTTCTTGTGTTTTTTGGATTTCTTTTTATGTTTTTTACTCAGTTTGCGTTTTCTTTCATATTCCGATGATGTGGTACTAGAATCACTATCACTAGACATTTTAGAGATGATTTTTTTGTTATGGTTTGAATGCGATTGAGTAAGATGATGTTGTAAACTAAAAATAAAAATATATAGAGAGAGAAAAACATTTTATTTTTATTGGCGAAAATTTGTTTTATTTATTAGATTTAACAAATGATTACAAACTACAATATAAATACAATTTTATGCACTTAAGAATAGGAAACTAATATTACAATATACATAGATTTAGTACAGAGATCCCCATATATTAAAAAAATATATATAACGCGGATTTAGGAGAAAAGCAAATAAATTATAAATATTTAATATTGCATGACGTAGCTGGACGCAGTTAAACTGAATCGCGGAATTAAACCAAGCATATTTTCAAGAACTCTGGCAAATAAACCTTAACAAAATTCCCCATTATTGTGTTAAAAATATGTAAAAAAAAATGTTCCAAAACGTTTATTAACATGTTGTATACACAATGAAAAGGATACAATTGACAGTTTTTTTAGCGAGTACTTATAGAAATAGTGTAAACTATTCATGATCAACTGTTAATATACTACAATGGCAATGCGTTAAATATATTTTTAGGTATGTACAAATCAAATAACGAATGGGAATTTTAAATGATAACGATATAGTTTTTACAATTGTATACTTTTTGCGATATGTAAAATTTCATACCAAATAAAAAAAATAGGAAAGCTACACTTTTTATTTTTAATTCTACTACACTACCTTATATTTTATAACAACAAACAACAACAAAATCACTAACAATTTAAGGAAGCATTTGTTTTAAAACAAATTTTGTTGAAAATAAGCTCTGCTTTAACTTTTTTTATTATTCGCCTCAAACTTCTACTACAGATAAACCGGACCGATTGTATATTTATAATTCGGCCAATAACAGCAACAATATTGTACACATTGGTGTTTCCATTTTATTTAGCAAATGTTTTCATTGCTTTGCGACCAGCATATACTAATGATTTTGTTATACCAGCACTTGGTATATTTTTCAGGGTTTGTGTTATACTGCTACGCCAGACTATATCATTTACCGACATTGCGACAATTTCATGCAGATTCTTTAAGGCTGCCAACGGTTCAACTATATCAATGTAGCTACCCTTGAAAACGGCATTGCGTATTAGTCGCCTTCGTAGTTCAGCTGGGGCTTGACGCAGGTGATATTCCGTTGCTTTTATTGATTTGTCCTGTTCAAATTGGGTTACAACATTTTCCGAACCCTTTTCCTTCGCGGCAAAATCGACGGCCACATATTGAGCCAAATCTTTCATGGCCGGCTTGTACAACTCGAAAAAGTCATTTTCTTGGGCCTTCACAATATTTGCCACTTTGTTTTTGTTCTCTCCGAATATCATACGGAAATCTCCTTTATAACTTAGATTGGCTATGGCATGGAACAGCTGATATGAAGTAAACTTCTCCGGTAACATTATCAAAGCTATGTGAAATGCATTTCGTAAATTTGTGGCCAAGGCTTGTTTCATTTGTTCGTCATCGTCTGGCGCCACAATATCCTGGACCGGTTTGTGTAGACGTCCTGCCATATACAGATGCCTCCACTCCAGTAAATCTTGTAGCATTCGTTCCTTTGAGATGACACCGTATTTAATTTGCACACCCAAATCGGGCAATGGCACCAATGTATTAAAATAAACACCGGCTCCAAAATTCTCTTGATATTTCATAATAAACTTTGGTCCCAAATGTCGCATTGCCGAATAGTGGCTCTCGTGTCGGCTTATGTTCTCTGCATGCCATCCCAATGGATCACGGACACAAAATACCAAATCAATAATATTGTTCTTTTGCTGATTTATATCGGCATATCCAATTTGTTGTTTAACACCAGATCCATATGCAAAAACATACGAGATACCACCACGGGGAAATCGGGCCAAAATATCTTTATAAAGAGTCATGTTTTGCTATACCTATCTACAGTATATGAGAAGTAATGTGTGGAATATTTACTTGTGTACTGGGTAGTTTAATATGAAATATATTTTCATTCAGAACTGGCCCACTTTCTTTAATTTCTTCCCTTTTGGAGGAGGATAGAGTTGTGTCCAAGGTAGATATACAAGGTAGCCGCATCGGCGAATTTCTACAACAAACATCGGTTGTTGTATTTTGATATGTCAAAAATATTTTGCCAAAACAAACAGATTGACAAGATTTTTTTACACAAATTCTTGTAGAAAATGTTAATAGAAGTATTGCCAAAAAGCTCTTCGAAATTCGGAGATTTTCATTTATAATTTTGTTTTTTTAATTTTTTGGTTCAACATTACAACAACATTTTTGACATTTATTTGTCCAACAGCTGGGCCGATGCGGCTACCTTATTAAATATACCTTGGTTGTGTCGTTCTGAAACGAACTAGTTCAAAGAACGACATTCTGTGAAATAAACGATCGGAACGATATCCATTCGTTCATATGTTTTCTTTAGTTCAATTAGTTCATTTCACTAAGTCGATACATTCATTTTGTCGGTTTGTTAAAATTATATTAGTTTGGGGAAAAATGAAATCCATTATTTTTTGTGTAAATGGAGTAGTTTGGAGTTTGGAGTAGTTCTCAATTTTTCTACCTAAACTAAAGTATGTCATCTTTTTTTTATAATATACAAATTTAAATTCTTATATTTTATACAATGCTGTTTATTACTAAATATTGAATATGTGATATTAATACACTTACTTGAGTAGTTAGCCACTTGCCAAATATTGAAATATATTATTATTTTTAGAATAATGCCATCTAAGATATCATTAAGAAATCTTGTTAAATGGAGTAGTATAGTTTGCAATTTAAATGAAATCGGCCTTAATGGCTTCAAATTGCATTTTTGGAATAAATAAATAAATAAAATAGTTTAAAACAATTAATGGTCGTTTTTTAGCTCCTGGCCGATGTTACGACTGCTAACATGGCGGTCAACTTCGATCATTTCTTCGATTTTATCGACATTTTCGAGGACCGGCCTACGTGTGCGAGGTGCATCTTTAACATCAAAAATTCCTGAACATTTTCGTCTTTGTCAAAGAAAAATTGGGAATGTACCGAATTTTCTCTTTGTTCACTTGCATTTTTACACCCTGTAACTCACAACCGATTGCACCAAACAAAATAACAGCAAAATAATTTTTTACTGCAAAATGTCACCCTTCCAACGAGCAAAATCTGAAATTGAGAGTACAGCCACTGCCGAAAACATAATGGATTTTAATGTAGAGACCTAGCATATAGTTATGGTCAACCCCTAAATTCAAATTACAGGTTAAGCGATGAGACAACATTTAGCACAGCGTACTGAATTAGGTGCAGATTTATGTATGCGAAGTTTTGTTGAAATCGGTTTAGATCTAGATATAGCTCCTATATACAGTTTCGTCCGATTGGGACAAAATCTTGCATAGCGTATTGAAATTTGTTACAGGTTGATAACCGTGAAGTTTTGTTGAAATAGGTTCAGATTTAGAAATCGCTCCGATACGCATTTTTGTCGGATTTTATGTAAACGGTGGAGTGAGGAGGCTATGTTTGTTCTATATTTATGAAATTTAGCAACGGGTATGGAATTTAGTCTTGAATGCTTTTTGTTTCAGATTTAAATATAGCTCACATATACATATACATCATTCCCATTTTATGTAAGTGGTGCACCATAGATCCTATTCTATTTGCTCGATATTTTGTTGTTGAAATCGGTTCACATATACATATAGCGCACTGTGCTGCAGCATACCAAATGGTGGATGCCACGGTTGCTCAAATACGTTCACTTATATATAACTCCCATACATATTTTGATCGATTTCATACCAATTATTGACATTCAATTTTTCATAAATTTCAGAATGTCCAGATTTTGATATACATATACACACATAAACCAAACATATGCAGAATGACGTGATGTAATTTCATCCGATTCCATGTACATTGTGTACTAAAGGCGCTACGCCAGTCCTATAGGCAAGACAATATATCAATCTAGATTTAGACAGCCCGCCCGCCTTTAGTCCTTTCCTTACTGCTTTATATATTGCATTTTGTAATAGAAAGGGAAATACCCTCAATTTTATTTATATTCATTGTTTTATCTAAAAGTATGAATAAGCCACCACATGTATGTATGTGTGTCGGTCACATTTGGTTTCGGAGATTGCCCGATTTATTTATTCAAATATATATAAAAAGAAAAATATTTTATAGCCAATAGTCTCTATGCAGTTGGACGAGAAACGTTAAGGAAGTTAGTCAGTCGATTGGAAAGCTAGTAATCCGAATTAAATATGACTAATCAAAAGAGTGACATTGAAAAGATGAATACAGAGGAGGATGATATTGTAAATCCATGGACTGTGGCCAGTAACAGTGATGCTGGCATTGATTATGAAAAATTAATCGGTGAGGATGTCTATAAAATGCCAAATATATGTATTATATCCAAAAATATATATTATGTTTTTAGAACGCTTTGGTTCAACCAGAATTGATGACCAGTTAATAGCACGCATTGAAAGGATAACGAGGAAACCAGCTCATCATTTCATTCGTCGTGGCATATTCTTTTCTCATCGTGAATTGGATACGATTTTGACACTGAAAGAACAAGGCAAACCATTTTATTTATATACTGGACGTGGTCCCAGCTCCGAATCATTGCATTTGGGTCACTTGATACCCTTTATTATGACAAAGTACTTCATTGAGTAATTGTTGAGTAGAAAAATAATTAATTTTATTTGTTTATTCCGATAAAAATAAGGTACCTCCAAGAAGCCTTTGATGTCCCATTAGTTATACAAATGTCCGATGATGAGAAGGCAATATGGAAAGATTTAAAAGTTGAAGATGCTATATCACTGGCCCATGAAAATGCCAAAGATATAATAGCAATGGGTTTTAATCCGGAGAAGACATTTATATTTAATGATTTAACGTTTATGGGGTAAGTTGAAGTTGGAATATATTACACATATACAGATATTAAATTGTAAATTGCACAGAATGTGCATCATATTTTCTATAACTCATTTGTATTGTACATAAGTTCCATGTTGTATATAAATGTATAATAAGTTTGAATTGGCTCTATTTAGAACATGTAATATAATTTAATGAATCTGTAATATATTTCACTTTTTATTGTATTCACTTTTTAGCCAATGTCCTGCATTCTATCAAAATGTTATACGTATGCAAAAATGTGTGACATTCAATCAGGTTAAAGGTATTTTCGGATTTGTGGAAAGCGATTTAGTCGGAAAAATAGCATTTCCCGTTGTCCAAGCCGCACCGGCACTTTCCAGTACATTTCCATTCATATTTGGTAATCAAAAAGTCCATTGTCTTGTTCCGTGTGCCATCGATCAAGACCCATATTTTCGTATGTGTCGTGATGTAGCACCACGATTGGGTTTCCCCAAATGTGCTTTAATACATTCGACATTTTTCCCGGCTCTACAAGGTGCAAAATCAAAAATGTCTGCAAGTGATGAAAATTCGGCTATATTTCTTACGGACAAACCAGAAACGATTAAAAACAAAATAAATAAATATGCATTTTCTGGTGGCCGCAGTACAGTGGAGGAACATCGTAAATATGGCGGTGTACCCGATATTGATGTGGCATATCAATTGCTAAATTTCTTTCTCGAAGATGATGATAAATTGAAGACAATTCACGATGCCTACAAGAAGGGACAATTGCTGACAGGGGAAATTAAGAAAATAGCCATTGACGTGAGTTTAATATTTCATACAAATAGACTAATTATTTATTATTATTTTTATAATATTAAACTATTTTTATAGACTGTAACACCAATTGTGGAGTGGCATCAAGCTGTACGTAAAGAAATAACTGATGATGTTTTGCAAGCCTATATGAAAATACGTCCACTGAAATTCGAAGGCAGTTCCTAAAATATTTAATTAATTTGTAATACAATTAAAACAAGTGAAAAAGCGTTAAGTTCGGCCGGGCCGAACTTTGGATACCCTCCACCATGGATATACTGACAGGTACTAGAAATGAAAATAAAGGGAGCATACCAAAAAGTGGACCTATACCGACATGTCTAAAAACGGATTATGTATACCATAATGTAAACCATAATACAAATTTCAGAAAATTTTAATTGATAATTCAAAATCGAAGATGGAGAATATCGGTCCACTTCTTCTGAAACCTCCACATAGGGGCTAGATCTAAATGCGGCTATAGTTCATTATCGAACCTTACGTTCTAATTGTTTATCTCTCTATCCTCCGCAGGTGAAATGATTACAAAAGAGTCTTACAACCAAACTCAAAACGCGGAACAAATCAGATAACTATTTTAATATAAAAAAGGGGGTTATATCGGGGGTTATATAGCGAATATTAAACATTTTTGGTAGAGAGATTTGTTACCATATACGACTACAAATTACCAAATTGCAGCAAATTCGGTTGAAAAATGCGCTCAAGAACCCCCAAATACCGAAAATTGGGGGTATTCTTATATGGGGGCTATCCGAAAAAATTGACCTATATTCATAATTTTTGGTGGAGAGATTTGGAACCTATTAAGAACCCAATGTGCCAAATTTCAGCGAATTCGGTTGAAAACCGCGCTCAAGAACCTTAAAATTCCGAAAATTTGGGGTACCGTTATATGGGGGGTACCAGAAAAAATTGACCTATATTTATAATTTTTAGTAGGGAGATTTGCTTCCCAACAAGAGCTCAAAGTACCAAATTTCAGCGAATTTGGTTGAAAACCGCGCTCAAGAACCTTAAAATACCGAAAATTGGGGGTACCGTTATATGGGGGGTACCAGAAAAAATTGACCTATATTTATAATTTTTAGTAGGGAGATTTGCTTCCCAATAAGAGCTCAAAGTACCAAATTTCAGCGAATTCGGTTGAAAAACACGCTCAGGAACCTCAAAATACCGAAAATTGGGGGGTACCCTTATATGGGAGCTATGCCTAAACGTGGACCGATATATCCCATCTTCGAACTTGACCTGCCTGCAGACAAAAGACAACTTTGTGCAAAATTTCAGCACCCTATCTCAATTCCTTCAGAAGATAGCGTGATTACAACAGACGGACGGACGGACAGACGGACGGACATGGCTAGATCGTCTTAGAATTTTACCCTGATCAAGAATATATATACTTTATAGGGTCGGAAATGAATATTTCGATGTGTTACAAACGGAATGACAAAATTAATATACCCTCCATACTATGGTGGAGGGTATAAAAACAATAAAATTAAAAAAAAAATTAAATAAATTTTTTGACCTAGTTTTTCGGGTTACTGAGTACAAAATTAAAAAAGTTCCTTTATCGACGGTAAAATAACTATTGTAGAATGTCATCAAGCTGTACGTAAAACAAGAACTTGTTTTACCCTCCACCATGAGGAGGACCTCTAACAGTTCTGTATATATATATATATATATATATATATGGGATCTATATTAATAAGTGGACCAATATTGATAAGTTTTGGTAGGCAGATGTCTCACCCAATTACAACTCAATATACCAATTAACTGCAAATAGGTTTGAAAAATGTGCCAAAAAACATCAAAATACCGAAAATTTGGGACATATCGTTAAAAAAGGGGGGAGGGGGCTATACCAACATGTGGACCTATATATTATCCGGTGAATATTACGAGTTTTTGCAATGACCGTCCGATCGTTTCCATCTGCTCTTCATCCTTACATAGGCGGCAGAATTCCACTTTATTCCATTTCGAAAAGAGAGACCTGATTCTACAATGACCAAACATCTTTAATTCTTTTAAGCCCATAGAAATCATTGTTTTAAATCTACACTTGGAGAATACCGGCAAAATAGATTTTTGAAGTTTTGTACCAATGTTCTTCGTTCCATCTCACTGTAAATTTTGATGGTTTTACCAAAGTAATAGCTAAGAGGAGATTTAACAGTAGTATCAATTACTAATTTGATTGACTGCCATCCACATTGAGCAAGCAAAAGGCACTTCTGGCAAAGAAATAGAAACCGTAAAGACTCGACAAAATGCATTTTGACAAAATAGTTTATAAAAAAATATTCAGGGTGAATCAGGATGTTTTTATTGTATAAGCTTGCTATATAGTGATTAAAACGTTTAATATTGTTCGCTCTGTTGTTATGATATCGTAACAACAGAGCAAAAGCCATCTATTGGAAATTGTTGACGTATCGATTGTCCTATCTTTATACATTTAATGGTCTGTTCCCGTACTGCAAGAATCAACTACTTTTTACTACGATAACGAATTTTCCTTTATGTTATCGAAGAAAATAATAAAATCTAGTAGATTCTTGCTGTACGGGAACATACCATAAGTCTTTGTTTCTGGTTTCTTGAAAATCAAGCGATAGAATATTTTTTTTATATTTTTTCAAAACATAACATACACAGTCACAAATTTTGTATACCCAACTAACAATTTGTTCCGAGTTGTTACCGAATTCCGAACGATACTCTACAAAACAAGGTGTATTTAATAAGGTGTAAGTGACAATCATATGGTTTTACAGCCTGTTTTTGTAAAATTCCAAACGAACGAATTCGAGTGACTTACGACCAAACTCCTAGGTTTTGAAAAATATGTCATTTATTTTTGTTTTGAATCAGAAAACCTTTACAAACATAAATAAAGATTTGGTCGTAAGTCACTCGAATTCGTTTGTTTGGAATTTTACAAAAACAGGCTGTTAGTCTTTTTTAATAATAAAAATTCAAGAAATCTACATTCATGAGGCGGGCGGAAAGGAAACCTAGGCTTAAATCAGTTATAACCCCGTTCGTCGAATGGTCCACATATTTTACGTTATGTGTGGAAATCTGTCCATAAATTCCTGATACTCATAAAATGGAGGAGATTATGTTACAATTCTCGGCGAAGGTTAAATACGCCTGTGGAAAGATTTTATACGGTCAACACAATTTCCATGATTTAGTCTTTGGCCGGGGATTTATGTCTCTCAATTTTCTTTAAGAAGGCAACAAAATTGAAAGACACTACTCCATAGAATAAAAGATGGTAGTTCACAATATAAACACCATCAAAAGGAGCCATGGGCTGCATGTGGGAAACTTAAAATTAATCGCGACTAGGTCTTAAACTTTATTTTTCACTGACCTAAAACCGCCAATAATACACAAATTCATTAATTATTCCCCAAAGAATATTTCTTGACAAAAATAAATTAATAATTGTTTTTGTTTATTTTTGTCAAAAACTGATTGTCAGCAATTTCTATAACAACAATGATGTTTTTGTAAAATATTTGTTGTTGTATCTGATGAATACACCTTATTAAATACACCTTGCTACAAAAGTTTCGTACTCTCTCGAATTCGATAAAGAAACTTCGGAATATTATCTTACTTACTTAGCTGACTTGTGACAGAACATTTTTTCCATAAGCCGAGCTTCAAAAGGATTTCCAGCCACGTCGGTTATGTGCGCAGCGGAATATTATCAGTTGTTTTTATTCGAAAATTTATCGGATTTTTGATCCGAAATTCAGAAAATTATTGGATGTTTTATTCGAAAAAAATAATACATTTTATTTTTAGAATAAAGACATAAGCATTTATTTGCAATAATTTAAAATGTATTTCAGTACAAGTTTCTATTATTTCTTTTCCTTGAATAATTAGAAGGCTATATTTGGACATTAGAGATGGGGGCTTCTTTTTATTATCTCCATTGTTTAATTCCTTGCGGAAAATTTAAAACATTTCTTTATGGCCTGACATAGATTCCATATTGCAATGTTTGCTGCGTTTCAGGTTGTAGAAGGCTGTCTTCCATTTCATTATTGTTTGACTTGATCTTAAATTTCAATTTATTATTTTTATAATAAATTATGTTTTTTAATTTTTTGTTATTTTCGAAATCATATTTTCAAATTGTTCCTTTGGCTGCTTGCCAACAACTAAGCATATCCCAAAAAATCAAAATACAAACATTTTTTTTCCAAAAATGTCCTTATAGAATGTGTACAGAGTACTCGGAAAGAAATCGGAGAAACAGTAGACAATATCGAAAATATAGAGTCGACTCTCTACAGAAAAGTGTTTTTATTTTATTTTTTTTTACATAAAATAAACACAATTAAATTTTCCATAAAATATGTGAAGAATATTCGGAAAATAATCAAAAAAAATGTTACGAGAATGCGGCAAAATTTTGATATCAGAATTCTTCGCAAAAATTGTTAGCTGGGAAGCCACAATATGTATATATATATATATATATATATAGATGTTTGTCCTCTAAAAAAGAGAACGTATGGCCACCTTAATATATATGAATTTGGTTATTCTCTCAAACGATATTACTGAGTCTATAATCGAAATATCTGTTCTGCAAAAACAAGATTTAGTAGATTCTTGCAGTACAGGAACATACAAAAAATATGTTTTCCCCGAAATTTAATGTTATTTTGCATGTGGTCATTAAACTGCTGACTCAAAATCAGCAGATCTAATTTAAGTGGATAATTTTTTCTTAAACGAACACATAAAAATACCTACGACTTATTTAATAAAGAGCATATGTACCAACAATATGGGGCTTTACTAAGGACCTATAATGGGGACTATAGTATTTTTTTAATTGCTACTAACATATTTATAAATTCAGGCGGCGGCTAAAATCGGCGACGAAATTTGCCGGCTTTATAGTCTGCCGCCGATACGAACCATCATATGTTTGTCATTTTTTAACAGCAGACACGTTTCATTCCACATTGCATTTTCCTTCTTTTAGTTTATAATTTAAACAATTTAAAAGTTAATAATAAATACTGGAAACTATGAGTGAAACTGTTGCCGAGGGTGTTGAGGCTTTGACACTTAACAGTGCAAAGGAGGCCGATGAGCAGGTGGTGACTGGTGTAGAGGTAACAGGTAAAGGAATTCTTATAAGAGAATTTAGCTGGTGCAATCACATAGATGTTGTTGAAATAAAACTTAAACAAGTGCGACCATTTTTACAAATTTATTTATTGTCCTTTATAGTAGGTGATGATCAAAATGATGTTGTGGATCCATGGAATGTTACCAGTACCAGCGATACTGGTATTGATTATGACAAATTGATTAGTAAGTAAATGTTTTTTTAATAAATTATCCATGGAATATCTACAATTGATTTATTTTCTTTTAGAGCGCTTTGGTTCATCCAGAATCGATGACGAATTGATAGCACGCATTGAAAAGATAACCGGCAAGCCAGCACATCATTTAATCCGACGTGGAATTTTCTTTTCTCATCGTGAACTTAATACAATTTTGACATTAAAGGAACAAGGCAAACCATTCTATTTGTATACGGGTCGTGGACCAAGTTCTGAATCATTGCATTTGGGCCATTTGATACCATTCATTATGACAAAGTAAGCGGTTGTTGTTGTATGGCATAGTTAGTGGTGTAGCCTATTTAATTTTAATTGTATTTACTAATATTTAGATATCTGCAAGAAGCATTCGATGTGCCTTTGGTTATACAAATGTCCGATGATGAAAAAACATTGTGGAAAGATTTGAAAGTTGAAGATGCTATTAAATTGGCTCATGAGAATGCCAAGGATATTATCGCCATGGGATTTGATGTCGAGAAAACGTTTATTTTTAACAATTTAACTTTTATGGGGTAAGTTTTTCACAAAAGAAAACAGGAAATGAATTTATCTATATATGGAGGAATATTGGATTAGGAGAAATATAAATAGAAGAATTTAAATTAGAATTTACCCATAATTATACCCTTCAGGTACAGTGTATTTCTGCATATATTTGTAACAGCGAGAGGAAACCAGATAGACTCATGGTTATGCATAGAATCACTTCCTAAGTCGATTTATGCATGTACATTTGTCTGTCCATGTTAAATAGTAAACAAAGTACAGGTCGCATTTAACGATCCATATATTTTTTGTCCGAAATTTAACATAGCTTACTGAATTAAGTCTACAAAGATGTTTGTTAAATTTCGTGAAAATCGGTTCAGATTTAGATATAGCTCCCATATATATTTTCATCCGATTTAATATAAATAGTGCCGCAAAGTCCATATATCTCTTTAGATTTTCACGAAATTTGGCATGGTTTACTGAATTGAGCCGAGAATGATGTGTGCTAAGTTTCGTGAAAATCGCTTCAGATTTAGTTATATCACCCATATATGTTTTCATCCGATTTAATATGAATGGTGTACCAATGCACCTATATATCTTTCAATTTGCCCGAAATTGGGCATAGCTTACTAAATTAAGTCTAGAATGACTTAATCAGTTCAGATTTAGATATAGCTCCCATATATATTTTCTTACGATTTTATGTAAATTGTGCATTAAATACGCAAAATTTGACCGATTTACAATACAGCCTATCTTTGAGAGACACATATCGGATTACGGCTTGGTTATAATAGACGGATGGATATGGCTAACTCGTACACTGAGAATATATAGTTTTTTTTTTTAATTTTATTAAAAATAGCGATGGGTATAGAAATTTTAAATTATTTTTGTTTTATTATTATTTATTATTTTTTAATATTTCCATTTCAGTCAGTGTCCAGCATTTTATCAAAACATAATTCGCATGCAAAAATGTGTTACCTTCAATCAGGTAAAGGGTATTTTTGGATTTGGCGATTCGGATATAATTGGTAAAATTGGTTTCCCCGCTGTACAAGCTGCACCAGCCCTTTCGAGTACATTTCCATTTATTTTTGGCAATAGAAAAGTTCACTGCCTTATACCGTGCGCCATCGATCAAGATCCATATTTCCGTATGTGCCGAGATGTAGCACCACGTTTGGGTTACCCTAAGTGTGCCCTCATCCATTCGACATTCTTCCCCGCCTTGCAAGGTGCTAAATCGAAAATGTCGGCCAGTGAACAAAATTCGGCAGTATTTTTAACCGATACACCCAAACAGATTAAGAATAAAATCAATAAATATGCGTTTTCGGGTGGTCGTGTTACCGTCGAAGAACATCGTAAATTGGGTGGCATTCCCGATATTGATGTTGCCTATCAGCTACTTAAATTCTTTTTGGAAGATGATGCTAAACTGGAAGAGATACGTTTGGCCTATAGCAAGGGTGAATTGTTGACTGGCGAAATTAAGAAAATTGCCATTGAGGTAAGTTTTTTGAAGTCGTTTTTTTTAAATCTGTTATTATTACAATTATTTTAATTTTGGTTAGACCGTGACACCCATTGTGGAACAACATCAAGCTGCTCGTAAATTGGTGACTGATGAAGTTTTACAGAAATTTATGGAAATACGTCCCTTGAAGTTCGGTAATGCAAGTTAAATTATTATTAGCACATAGTGCGCCACTACGATTTTTGTCACAATTTAAAAAATAAAGTTTTTTATTTATTTTCGCTTATAATACAATTAGATGAATGTTTTTCTTTAACGCTTTATTATTCCACATATCTAAATTGTGAACTAGCATAATTTAGCATAAATAAAGTTCTACAACAAATAGCTAATTATTTTATTAGGTTTTCCGAATAATTATCTGTGCAATAATTGGAAGTATTAATGACAAATAGATCTTCTCAAATGATAAGTTATTTATTTAATAAAGACTCTGGCCCCACTATCATCATTGTTCTATATAAATAAGCCAATATCAACATAAATTTTCGTCAAATGGGTATTCATTTAATAGATATATATTTTAATATTGTATATTTAATTTCCAAAATATAAATGGTATGTATTACAATTACATTGTTGTAAAATTAAATGCCATTACAAAAAAGCCAATTATATACTGGGGGAGGGTATTCCAAATGTGTAAATAATAAATTATTTTTTGAATTTCTTGTGCAAACACACAAGCTACTCTCAAACTAAGAAACATCACAGAATCGATAAATATTTTAGCCATACAAATATAACTGCTAGCGTATGGCTTGAGCCATGTGTAAGGGTGTCACCATTAGCGTAAGCTCTGCATCTTTTAGATTTGCACCTCTTAAGTTTGCCTCCTGCAAATCACTACCCGACAGATTACAACGCTCTAAATCAGCTCCGGCCAGTACAGCCGAACGCAGATTACAATTCTTCATGTTGGCATTTTTTAGATTCGCAACACGGAGATTTACTGCTGCCATATTGGAGCTTTCCAAGCATGCTCCCTTAAGATTGACACCTTCCAAATTGGTTCTTAAACCTGAGGGATCTTCGAAATTGCAACCTCTTAAATTGGCACCTTCCATATTGGCACATAAACCTTGGTAAAGACACAATTGTTGTATTGGAAATTAAAAAAATATTCCACAAAAAATTTGTGCAGTATTAGAACTACCTTTTACTGATATAAGTTGGGCACACTCTAAATTGGCATATGCAAGATCGGTACGTTCCAAACAGCAGTATGTTAGATTAGCATGGGACAAATTACATCTTTGCATGCAAGCATACTGGAAGGAAGGGGTATACAATAAAAACTCGTATCAATTCTAACAATTCTAAACGTGTTAGATTACAATTTCTAAATAATCAAATATTTCAAATTTGCATAAACATAAACGAGCTTGCGTGAGTTTGTTTGATGGTAGTAGACAAACCCGTTTATTTTTGAGCAAACCTTTTTACCTTGAAATTAATATTACGGAAATCCAGTTTCCTCAAATCGGCACCAGCCAAATTTACACCCTGAAAACGTATTTCTGTAATGTGTGATGTTTGTATGAGTGCCTTGATGACATCTCTTCGGGTCAATGGCTGATTATCGAGCGATTGATTATTTTGCATAATTTGTGCTTCCAACTGGCCAACCAATGATTCTAACCCATAGAATTTTGCTTCTTCTAATACACCTTCCAGGCTAATATTGGGATCGACAATAAGTTGACCATGCCTTAGATAATTAATTATTGGCTCAAAATAATGAGCACTTCGATCAATTAAATACGCTCCCGATTCATCTTGATCACTGGGCATCATGGCACCGTCTTGAGAGAACATGCGGGCCAGCATACTATCCGGTTCTTTGCTCACCAGTGTCCATATTGTCGTTTGGAATACTTTACCACCAACATTCAGTTTTATCCATTTCGATGATGGAAATTTCTGTTCCCGCACGGGGGCCACTTGTAAAGACGTCGTTGACTTCTCGGTCATTGGTGTGTTGACCCTGTGATCTGTCGTCTTCGTTTCGTTATCACTTAATGGTACTGTGTTGTAAGTAACTTCGTCAGTATTCATGTTACAAAAAAATAAAAATGTGTTAAAATTTCAATAACCACTTCGCCCTTTTTTTCTTGCCAATGATGTGATTCTGGTTTTTATTTATAAACTGCCCCTCATAAACACCCACTGATGATAAAGTCTTGTGTGTAGTTCTAGGTTGAACCTTTCGAACGATTCACTGTAAAGAGCGACTGAACTAAATCTTTCAATACGCGAAGTGGAAGAGGGAAAATTAACGAAAACACAGAATGTTACGAATAGGAGTGAGAAGCGAAACGCAATGTTTACGAAAGCGACAAAGAAAAAAAGTAATAAAAGCTGCGACATAATGCGATTTTACTAGACCAGATCACACCCTATACTATTTTGCAACTTATATTTCGTTTTCAAAAAAGGTTCGTTCGATTATTCAATAATTTGTACAGATTATTACAAAATGTTGTTCGTTTGCCCAAAAGTCCAGTCCATTAAATAAACAAACTCTTGATCTTCTATCATCAACCCACATCCCTGGTTGTAATTGTACGTTTACATTTAACCAGATTTCGTTAACCCAGTGGGTTTCAATTGTCATTTCCTTTGCATATATGTCAAATAAATCCTCATAAAATAGGTTAACCCGGTAAAAAAAGTTCTAATGTACAAGGAGTTTAAGGGCCATAATGAGGTACACATCCTCATTATGGCCCTTAAACTCCTTGTGTGCGCATCGGCATATGGTTCTTACGAGGGAGGAGGAGAAGCTGATTGAAAACATTATAAGCTACCCAAAACTGGTATGGGTTATAAATAGTTCTCGACCCTACAAATCTCCAGGTCCAGATGGTATAAAAGGGGGCCATGCTCGCAATTCTGTTTTGTTTCGATATTTGTAAAAAACTGAAATTGGCTGCAGCAAAGTTTTGCGTTTTCTTTCATTTTCTGTTTACTATTGGCAAACAAACAGCAGGGCACATAATATATCGTATATACACGACTATAGCTTCTATAACAGTACGTTTACATTTAAAGAGGTAACAGTGGGTGTCATTTCCCTTGCATATATGTCAAATAAATCCTTATAAAGTAGGTTAACCCGGTAAAAAGTTCTAATGTACAAGGAGTTTAATCCAAGGGTTCCTTTTATAATTAAGTTTTGTTTTCTTTTAATTCCATTTTTTAATTTTCATGAACAATGATCAAACGAGAAAATAAGTGTGTAAAATTATTCATAAATTTGATGCAAGAGTTATTTTGCGTGTCTAAACAACAATGAAATTTTTAAAGAAATTTAGAAGAAAATTTGTCATGAAATTTTGCTCGTGTGCATCTCCCAGCATACCCCAGCATACCTGCATCAAATCGGGAACCATATGGAGTCCACCGGCTACACCTTGGCAGCGTTCCTCGATATTGAGGGAGCTTTCAACAATGTGAAGCTAGAGGCCATTCATTCTGCTCAGGTATCCCCTCATTTCTAACGGACTCGATTGATAGAATGCTGGAAAGCAGAATTATCAACTCATCCTTAGGAGAGAGTTCCGTGAGGAAATCTGTGAAAAGAGGCACACTACAGGGAGGAATATTATCTCCTCTTTATCGGTGTAGATGTCCATCGCTGAGTGTCAGAAGACACAAACAGTTTGAATGTTATGAATTTGATAATCTAGATTTCTTCTCCAAAATAGACCACAATCAGATCATAGGCTTAGTTAAAAATTTGGCATGGTTAAAATAAACATTTTCCAGGCTCTCCAAGAAACTACTTTTTTTCGAATTTTCCTTTATGTTATCGAAGAAAATAGTAAAATTGAGTAGATTCTTGCATAACGGGAACAGACCATATTTCTTCCTCTTTTGGATTCTCTCTTCTTTCCCCTTTTCTTTTCAGGTATCAAAGATGATCCCAATGGACAATTGTCTCTGAGTGAACGGTTGTAATTAACAACCGCACATCCCTAACCTAACCTATATACAGGAAAGCGTGTTAAAATTTTGAACGGATTGCATTATTAGTTCTTGAGTCATCGTACACGCCATTTGTAAAAACATTGATTCGAGAAAAACTAGTTTAAACTTTGAGAAGCATTTCTGTCATCGCTTGATGCTGGCACTATTAATAGGATATATCTTCAAAAGTTCTTTAGTTTTTTACTTGAAATTCTAAACAGTTGCTAGAGTAGAACCTATAAGCAACAGATCTACCTATTAAATACTAAATACTATTTGCAACAAAGCAGATTCAACTGTAACCGATAACAAGTAAATCGATTAAATGAACTGTCGAATGGTCCATCACTAAGAGGTTTGTTTACTTTTCTAATTTCGGTTGCTAACAGAAAAAATATTTTAAACAATTTAATTCGATATAATAATTTAATACAATTTTCGTCATCATCATGACCGATAATCCAGCTTGTTCTATGCCAAATCGAATAAAAAATAGCCAACAAAATTCTAGTGATTATTTTCACAAATATATTCTAGACGAAGAAAAGCGCCTAAATCATATTGAATCGGCGGGGAATCAAACAACAAAGGATTCCGTCCGAGGTATTAGTACTTCTGATATTTGCCAAGAGCTGAAGCAATATAAAAAACAAATTTTATTGGATGAAAAGCGCAGACAACAATTGCGGAACAATAATCATGAACTTCGATTGCTTCAAAACCAACTACAGACCGCCTTGGTATCCAAACAGCTACAGGAACAAATGGATGCATTACAGAAGCAACGGCAATTGGACACACAAAGAAGACGTGAAGAAAACGCCCAGTGGGAGATGGAATGTGAAAAGGCCAAAAGGTCTATTTTGGAGGAGGAGGAACGAGAGCGACAGAGGAAGACACAAGCCCGTACCTTATTGCAGGAACAAATGCACGAAGTACAGAGCAATCGCAAAAAGGAGTTTGAAAAAGTCATGAAAGATCGTGAAGATATGCAAAAAACTCAAAAACAAATTGAAGCCGAGGAACAAAGGAAAAGAGACTTAGCCCAACGATTTCGTGATCTATGCCGGAAAGAAATGGAGGAATGTATGCGTCTTAGAGAGGTACAAAGGCAATTGGAAAAGGAGCAAAATGTCGATGACAATGAACGTCTTATGGCCTATCAACGGGAAAGGGATGAACTGAAGGAAAAAACGGAAGCTGAAAATAAGCGCATTATTGCGGAGAAAATGGCATTGAGCGAGAGAATTGGCAAGGAGCTAGCCAACATCAATAAAGAAAGGGAGAAAAGAGATGACTTGTTATTGTCACTGCTGGTTGAGGAGCGCAAAGCGAAGGAAGATATTAAATACCGTCAAATGCTAGAGAAACAGATCGAGGAAAGGACAAAATTGCGGATGGAACTAGAAAATTATCGTCGAGAAATCGCCATACAGAAACAGCGTAAATTTGCCGTAGAGGAACGGCAAATGCGTGAAGAAAGTTTGCGTCAAATGGCCGAACGTGATAAGTTGGATCAATTGTCGGATGAGAAACGTAGGCGCAAAATTATGGAGCATAATAGGGCATTAAAAGAGATGATCGAACAAAGACGCCAACAACGTGCCGAGGAAATAGCTCATAGAATTGGAGAATTCGAAACGATGTTACGAAAGGAAAAAGAAAGGTATTTTGCTAGCACTTTTTACAATATGAACATGTTTAACTCCAAATTTGCGGTTTTTCTTTATTTACAGAGATCAATGTATTGAGGAGGAACGAATTCGTATGTTACAATCTATTCCCACAGAACTATTACGTTACTTACCACCTGGTGTGTTAAAGCCATCCGATAGAGAACACATTCCTTTGCCTACTGAAAAATCAACATAATTTTTACTATTTTACATACAAGCCATTTGTATTGTTAGGGCTCGTAGTGTTGATGTCTTTCGAACAAAATTATGTTGTGGGATAATGAAAACAATTTCTAAAATCAAATTGGCTTACACAAATCTTTTAATTTATTGGTAGCATATTTTATAATTTTGGGTAATGTAATTATAATAAAAAAATTGTTTTTTGAAGTATAATGGTTAAGATCCCCTCCAACTGAATAGACGTTAATATATTATAAAGCTAATACATAGTGTTAAGCTTTTTGAGTAGTCTACATTTTTTTTTTTTTTTTTTTGAATCGCTCTTGGACCTTTGGGCTAGATTCTGGTATATGAAATAAATTGAAACTGGAAGCATATAGGTATTTAGATTTAAACCAATTTAAAGCAAACTTGATCAACATCATTTAAGATCTCTACCGATCTTCAGTTATCCCATAGTGCAAGAAAATAATTTCGTTCCTGGATTTTTTTTTTTTTTTGGAAGAATTATCTATGAAAAAATTGCTTCATATGCTTTTTTTGGTCTTTTGTAAAGAGCATTTTGGACGTATTTTAATTTTGTTTAATAATTCATTTTATAAAAATTGTACTCATTGCCACTAACATATTTTATGAGAGAGCATAGTGTGAACACATCTAATAAAACACGGCCGTTTATTTTAATTATTTTATACTACAAGGTATATATGTCAAATAAATCTTCCCAATGAAAATTTCTAATGCCGTTTTAGTCTAATTTTATTTTTTTTATTTTAATTAGTAAAAAAGGTAGTACATGGAATATATCATATGTAAACCTAATTGAAATTCGGCTTTAAGTTGCTGTTTTGATGATATAAATAATGCATTGTTTTTATTTTAATCTCGTGTATTAATATAAAAATACATATATACTTTTTAATAATATTCATTCATAATGTCTTTCCCCGAGTGTTTTGCAACGCTTTCCGCTAAACGCTTTTATTTAAGTTATCCTTTATAATGTTTTATTATGTGTGTTATCATTTCACAATACCTTACACCGAGTGTTGGAAAAAGAAGAAGTATTATTTAGTCGATGGAAAAATCACATATTGCGAGTTAATTTTTTTTAGAAAGTTCAAGATTTTTTCCACAAAAATCATATTTATTTATATATTTTCGTGCAAAGTGGTGAATTGTTAGCTATACACAGCATATATTCATTATTCAACTCGATATGATGACGGCATCTGAAACTACTGCTAATGCTGCACCCACAGAAAGAGGTCAGAGAGGTGTGAGTCGCGTCCTGGCCAAATTAGATAGTTCCATAGAAGCGGGAAACTATTATGAGGCACATCAAATGTATCGAACACTATACTTCCGTTATACGGCGCAACGAAAATTCGAAGAGTGCTTGGAGTTGCTCTACAATGGTGCATTGAAATTAATTTCAAAACAACAGGAGACAAGCGGTGCCGATTTGGGTCTGCTACTTTTGGATACATTGGAAAAGAGGGGTAACAACAAAAAAGATGCCGATTTATGGGTAGAACGTATTGGTAATATAATTACATGTCTTAATGCTGGCTGTGTGGAACGTGAAACCCTTATTGTAAGTTTAATTCCTGCCTGCCGTGCATATAATATCAGTTTGTCAATGTTATTTTGTTTCAGAACCGTTCTATAAAATGGAGTGCCGAAGTCACTGGCAATTATCCGGGTGATCCGGCTTTGTATAAAATCCTAGCACATGTTTTTTGGTCTGAGGGCAATACAGAATTGGCTCGACGCTATTATATGCTCTGTCGTGATGGCAACCTTTGTGGCCGTATTCTCATCAAAATCAACGAAACTAAAGGCTACAACAGTGAGGTGGATTTGTTTGTTGTTCAGGCCGTCCTACAACAAATCAGTTTAAATGATCGGAAAACCGCAGAGGATACATTCACCACATACACACGCTATCATCCAAAAATAAATCGTAAAGAGGCTCCGTTTAAGCAACCACTTTTGAATTTCATCCACTTCCTTTTTCGATTAATGGATAGTAAGAATTTGGAAGCCTTTAGGGCTTTATGTACATTATACAAAGCCGAATTAGATCGAGATCCCGCATTCGAAAAGTACTTGACTAAAATAGGAGTACAACATTTCGGTGCCAGTCCACCGGTATCTGAGAGTCGATTTGGTGGCATGTTTGGAGATGTTATCTCACGTTTGTTGCAAGGTATAGACGAAGATGACGACGATGAAGGTGATGCCGGTCATGGCGGTGGTGAACGTGGCCGTGGTGATGGTGCTCACGCACTGGACTGACGCAATAGTAGCAGTCCAGTGTGGTGGGAGTAAACGACTATATATGTTGCTATGTATAAATATGTTTCCAAAAGTTACATTTAGTAATTTTACGGTCTTTATGGCTATATACATATATTTTGATTTACTATTCCTTTTTTATTTTATTTCATAAATATTTAGAAAGTGTGTCCTTAAATTGATTTCTGATTCTTTGTTTGTTTCTCCTTATCCTGCTTAGTTGTTTAAAAATAAAAATCATATTATGAATGACATAATATAGATATTTAACTAAAACTTGCCCCTGATTTATTTCTCAAAAGAAGGACACTGCATAATTACACTTATAATTTTTTTATTTGAAAAGTGTTGTTATTGTATTAAGAATATATTTCTGGTACACTACAAAGCAGAATTACAATGGTTAAACTTTTTTGACATAATTTGGATTAGCACCGTTAGGAATATTTAGGATGAAAATCGCGAAGTACGATGTACCGAATGCTCTCACAGAATGTAGTGTGAATAAAATTGATGAACGAAAATGGCAAAGTTGTCTTAGAATTCGATACTTTGTAGGATATAAACTGACAATTTTGAGTTCAGAATATCCCCCACAAATGGGTTAAGTATTTTAATATAAATTTTTTATCTGCTAGGAATACAAAATACTAAATTACAGCGAATTCGGTTGAAAAACGCACTTTCGAAATACCGAAACAAACATACCAAATCACAGCCAATTTCATTAAAAAACTTGTACAAAGTCCTCAAGAGCCGTATTGTTTGTATACCGTTATATGGGGTGCCAACCTCAAAAAGTTGTACGATGTTAATAAAAATACCAAATTAAAACCATTTCGGTTGAAAAACATAACCAAAATTCCCAATATACCGACATTTTGGGAGCCCCTTTATATGGTGGCTACTCTAAAAAGTGGATCTATATTGATAATTTTTTGTCTGTAGATTTGGTACATAAAAATAACTCAATGTGCCAAATTACAGCGAATTCGTGCTAAAATCCCCAAAATACCGAACACTTGAAGCTACCGTTTTATAGGGGGCTATGTCTAAACGTAGACCGAATAGCACCCAATAGTCTGTGCCGGATGTAAGCCAGGACTGGACAGGAGATGCTCAATTGTCTCCGTTTCCTCCTAGTCATGCACTTAGGTTCGTTGTGTCAAAGTTCATAGGCTCTTTCGTCGAAGGCCTCAAAGTTTCGATAAAGATGACATATAAGTGGTTTGATTGAGCCATCAATTGCTAGATCTGTAGATTGAGGTCCTCGTCTAATTCGTCTGTTCTTTCATGATGTCACGGTGTCCAACTGATCTACACTCGAGGACGACACCAGATTTGATATAACAAGATTTGATGACTTTAAGAGCCGCTTGACTATCTACGAAGATAGTCATCGGTTCAACGACCTCTGCATCCAGACTTTTTATAAATTCCGCTCCTTTACAAATCGCGAAGATTTCAGCTTGGAAAACACTACAGTTGCAATCCCGCTTGTAGGTTAACTCAAAGCCTAGCCTTTCACAGTACACGCCGGTCCCTGTACCTTCTTCCATCTTGGATCCGTCTTTATAGAAAGTTAGACCGTCCAGAGGAGGGTTACTCTGGTTCCAGTCGTCTCTACTAGGAATAACGACATATATATAGTCGCTTACAATTTGCATATTCTACCGTGGTGTAGCGGTGGTAATATGCCAGGCATAAATCCGATGGGTCTCGTGTTCAAATCTTAAGGAAAGAGGGAAAAATTTTTTAAGTGATTTTCGAAACTTATTAAAAAGAAAATTCCATATTTGTAACCGCTCGACAGATGTCGTGTCAAACATTTTGAAACCACTAAAGGAAACCACCTTTACATGCCGTTTAACGCCCTTTTAATTTGTAACGTTCAGGGATGCGTGTGGTATTGTAAATTAATTAAACCTAGGTGGTAAAGGCTTACACATAGTTCTATGTACCGGCTGTACTCAATCGGCCACACACTTCGTACAAAAAAAATACAAATGGATCACAAGACGATTATATCTATATTAAAAGTTGTTGGTTTATTAGGGGAAATTGTCGTTGTTGTCGATTCGGATAACTCTAGGTGTTAATAGTTACCCTTGTGCCCACCCACGGGTTCCTCTGGAACCTCCATCGGGCCTCCACGTTTATGAGGACCCCCAAATGATTAACAATGGCTGAACCTCCTCCTATTTTACCCCATAGTAAATATTCAGAACATCTTCAGTTCATATAATGATATATTTTCAAGTGAATTCAACATTTACAATCATTAAGAATAAATATGAAAGAATCTTAAACTAAGTTTAAGGCTAAGGCCAAATTCAATAAAACTTCTTCAATATAAACATTTTCGATCACCTTGTTAAAGGTCAAATGACTAAATACAAAGGGTATTGGATTATATCTATCCGTGAACAATTGGTGTCAACCACAACTCTGGTGCGACTAATCAATTATTCAGCACTTCAACTTATTTCGATAACCCACCAATCCTATTGAGCTCAATGAAAAGGGGTAAAAATGATTTGATACCAATTTGGAAGAAAATTGGGATTAACACCAAAAGGTTTTACAATTACGGATAATATCGGTTTTAGGATCGAAAGTCCTGTTATCATTGAATTTAACTTAACGGAATCAAAAAAAAAATCAGTTTAATTTATCATATGGAAGAATATTAAATATCATTCAAATTTAATCTTAGTTATATTAATATTGATTATTAAGATCAATTAATCATTTTTCATTATTAAGATTGACATGAACAATACAACAACACAATATATTATCTCATATACACATACACAGTTATATATAGATGTCGTACCAAGGTATATATATATATATCACTTATGCATATATATAGTTATAAGTATATATATATATATATAAATGCATAGGCGACACTTTTTGTTACGGTAGCTTGTTATAATTGTATAAATTTAAAATTTTGTTTTTGCATTGTATAAATTCAAAATTGTATCAATTTAAAATTTCATTATTTTAAGATTTATAATTTCAAGAAAAACACAAATTTCATTTTAAATGTAGGTTATGAGCTCAATAATTTTATAATCACATACTTTTGAACAATACTGTAAAATTCATCAAACATTTTCTTTGCACGTGCAATACTAAACGAGTTTATGTGCCGTTTTGAAAAAAATTACCGTTACACATTGCACCCTACAGGCAGTATTACGGTACATCTAATAGTATGCAACACTATTTTGCACACATAACCTTTGCAATGCAATTTAAAAAGAAAAATAACAAAATCAAATATCGGCTGACCGTCGATCCAATATTACAATAAAAGAATAGCTTTCGCACTTCTTAACCTATGGTTGAGAAGTACGAAACGCTATATGAACATAGTTGTTTCTGCTACTACTTCTACTACACTGTCACGACACACCACTTATTGCACTTCTACTTATCCTGAATGGATCCTCCTAAGTAGATGGCTGGAAATGTAGATTTTCTGTTATGGGATGTTCCGATGGTTTAATGCTGGTGGTATAATGTGGCTTTCGATACGGCTTGATGTCCAAAATTGGCAATTGGAAAATTGTTGAAATTGAAATCCGGTATTGGGTAGGGTGGTTCTTCGAAAATCATATAATGGTCTCTTGATACAAAATTTATTCTTGGTTTCGTCCAGGATATGATTTGGAATTGCGTACTGGTAGGGTTCTTGTAAAGGAGTTGGCAAAAATAAAGAAATCCATGCAAAGTGATTCAAAGTTTGCTTTGGAGTGCACTCGGTTACCATCAAGGTAAAATGAATTACGAGGTTGGTGGAATATTTGCAATCAGGAACCACATACCAGTACTCAGTTCTCCAATTTGATTCTGAATGGTATCCTCGTCAATGTAGGAAATGTATGATGGTATAGGGGTACGCCAAATATGGTGCCGCCTGTTGAATAGAAATTTCAGAAATCCCTTTAGATTTTGTGTTAACAAGGGAAAGGAATACATGTATATGTATTTGCCCTTTATTACTAACACTCACCTATGTCAACCAAAAGAATCCGATTGGGATTAAAAAGTCCTCGATAGGCAAACACTTTGCAGTCGAACCACGTGCACTCACTTTACTTTTTATCAAAGAAACAATTATTTAAGATCGACTTCTTGTATCACTCACTTTTCTTTTTGGAATGTGCGAAATGCAAAAAGAAGCGCGTTAAGGGGTGCAGTGATCGAAAAATGCATTTTGGTGGTGCCATATCAACAAATTCAAAAAAAGTAGTCGGTAACCGATCACTAACTAAATGAAAGCGGTGTTTGCGTTTTGCTTACGCCGAAGGTTGACATAACAAACCCGAACATGTTAGCACAGGCCTGCCGGAGCTACACTGATTCGGGAAGTCAGCCGAGATATTAAAAACGTGGGGAAGAACTGCGACCCTGAGATTAAACAAAAACGAGAAGCCGGGCTACTATTTAGTTGGTACTATGTGCTGTAAATCTTTCGAGTGGTAGACCCCTACTTTCTTGCCGTTCAAATTCTCAATTTCGTAAAGCGAAGACCCTACTTTCCGTACAACTCTGCATCGAACAAATTTTTGACATAACTTTGAATTAAGATGGCGCGAAGCGTCACTCAAAACAAAGTTCCTCCTTAGAATTTCCTGTCCCGGTTTGAAGTTAATTTCGCGTGCTCGCGTGTTGTAACGGACTGCAGATTTTTCAAAAGAATCGTGTAATTTGTTTTTAATCGTGTCTCGAACCAAGTTTAAAACGTCGTGTTTCGGAATTATTTCCACTGTACCGTCTTCTAGAATACCCAGTTTGTGTGCCAGTTTGTATTCACTCGCGTGTGTTATCATATGTGTTCCGAAAAGAGAAAAATATGGCGTGAAACCGGTTGAAGTGTGCAACGTGGACCTTAAGGAACATTCGATTGCGGATAAGTATTTATCCCAATCCTTTTGATCTTCCGAAACGTACGATCTAATCGCGGCAATAATGGTCCGATTTACCCTCTCTGACGCATTTGCTTGCGGAGAGTACACTGCGTTTCGGATTTGCGTGCAACCATATTT